GCCAGGTGTTGATAATAATAATTGCTAACCATGAGTGCTTACTATATGCCAGACATGTCTCTAAGCACTTTTGAAGGTTGCCTTTTTTAATCCTTAGGAAATGGGCATTACCCCCAGGGGATTTCCCTGGTGGCACAGTGGATAAAAATTCACCTGCCAATGCAGGGAACCCAAGTTTGATCCCTGGTCTGGAGAGATTCCGCATGCCAAGGGACAGCTAAGCCTGTGCACCACACCTACTGACCCTGCATGCCTGGAGCCTGTGCTCTGCAACAGGAGAAGCCACCACAACGAGAAGTCTGCGCACGGCAATAGCCCCCACTCACCACAGCTAAAGAAAGCCTGTGCAAAGCAGTGAAGACCCGGAGGAGCCAAAAATAAAATAAATAAATAGTTTAAAAAATACTTTGCCCATTCTACGGATGAGGAAATTAAGATTCCAAGAACTTAGGCAGCTTCTTCATAGCTACCCTGCTCATCTGGCCCACGCCATAGCAGGTGCCACAGATAATGAAGACATATCTAGGCAGATTTTTGTAAAAGTGCATGGCATTTTTTTAACGATCTCCACCATCATTTCTGGCTTACTCTATGGATCAAAGCAGTCCCAAAGACCCTCCCAAGTACATGGGACTTTGACCTCACCACTAGATGGGAGGAGAACGAATGTCAGATTGTCAGGAGAGCGTAAGGGGTAGGAGATATTTTGGCTCCCATGTTTGGAAAATGCAGTCTGCCTGGGGGTACCTTGGGAAAAGGCCCACAGATGGAAGGGCTTGACCCACTGCCTAGCTGGGCCCATCATGCAGTGCACAAACTATAGAAATCCATGCAGCAACTTTGGGTCCATCAGTTTTGTTTTGGGAGACCCTGGCCTGGGTGAATCACCGAGGGAGGGAGTGTTTTGTGAATCTCCATACTGAACCACCTGGGATCATTTTTACCTTATGTTGCCAAGGTCTTATCAGCAAGACTGGTGTAGCTAGGTGCACAGGTAGGAATACCCAATGATGTGAAGGTCTCCAGTCTATCAAGCAGTGGGGGAAGCTGCAAGTGAGGGGCAGCTATGGAGAGGTGGGGGCAGACAGTGGGCAGTAGTTGTAGTGTTCGTCCCTGAGAGTTGATGATACCTGAGTCACTACCTCTCCCCAGTAGGTTGTATTTCATTAATTATGAACATAGCAGTCACCCTTCGAGAGCCTATTTGGGAAGGAGTATCCTGGAAAAGACTGGAATTGCTGGCAGTACAAGGGATGGAGGCTCAATGTATCCAGGTAAGCATTGTGTCAGTTGCTGATTTCTAGCCAAGATAAAATAGCAAGAAATTGTAAATACACACACATACACACCCCTCAGGACTCACTGGATGGCTGAATCTGTTTTATTGTAGCGAGTGGTCAGAGAAGTGAAATAGTGTAACAGAAGCTCAGATAGGTAAATTGCAGAGGCTCCTAAACATCAGGCTAGTATCTTCTTACTTAGACCAGTCATTTCCAAACAGTTTTGAGCATATAATCCAATAATATGACATTTTTTGAGCACCCCTTGTTGAAATGAATACGCATCACGGATATACTAATAAATGGTGCACATTATACAACCTTTCCAAGAAGAGAATTAAGGCAGAGGCCAGATAATTATTAAAGATAATCCTAATTATCTTTATTTTTAAATTTTTTTTCTAATTAATTTTTTTCTGTATCCCAACCGATGAGCACACACACTTAATGTTAGAGGCCACTAGCTCAGACAATGGGAAAGCTTTGAAGGGTCTTGATCCTAGAAGAGACAGGTCAAGGTGGCATAGGAGGAAATCTAGGTTGGTGGTGCTTATTATCTGTAGACCTCGGCGGGCCCTAGCCCCTTCCATGGTTTTGTTACCAAAGAGAATCTATTATTCAAGAGTGACCTCACCTGGCTCCCTCCTGGCTTTCCCCATCTCTCTCCTTTCCCAGATCTTCAGGGTTGGAATGCTCATTGCATTGTTCCAGCCACTAAACAAACTGCCTGGAGATCTGTAGACCTGCAACATATCAAATAAAGGAAACTCATGTCTCATTCTGTCAAAGTTTTTTCCTTGATCCAGCCTGAAAAGATACCCAGTCTGTCTTCCTTTGCTACCAGGTGCTACAATTTCTCTCATCACCAAAATCTTGAAAGCTCCGTTTCTCTGGCGGCTTGTGTTGGAACCTTGTGAGTCACCCGGTGGGCCAATACTGCTGTTCTGCGTAGGCGAATGTCTGATAATATTGTGTAATATGAGTTCAGCAGTGTGAATACGCACAGCTGTCGAATGTTAATTCTCTCGGCAGGCTTTAAAACACAAGCACCAGTCCATCCTAAAGTCATGCTTTGGGCTGTCTGGTCCTCCTGTTTGTCAGTAACCCCAAGGCTGGGGGTTAGTTGGAGTCCATGGGCTTACACTTTCCAACCAGTCATGGAAAGCCTGTCTGCCTACCCTCTTTCATTACTGCTACCTTTTGGAGGATGTGGTTATTTATTCATTCATTTTTAGTGGCTGATGTTGGGAACCCAGGTTTAACTGGATTTTCAGGATCTCTTGGGGAGGTGGGCTTAAGGTGGGTGGCAATGAATAAGCCATAGCCGTGCTGTGGTTCTGGGACCAGACTAGGGGGAGGCAAGTGAGGTGCCCAGGGTGCTGAGCTTTAGAAGGTATCAGTCTTAGCATCACCCATGTGCAGGGCTGGCACCTGAGACAGATGCCTCTTCAAATCTTGCCTTGCTCTTGGGGTCCCTTTCCTCTCCAGACTGACTGTTGTTGTTCATTGTTCAGTGACTAAGTCATGTCTAGCTCTTTGAGACCCCATGGATTGCAGGATGCCAGGCTTCTCTGTCCTTTACCATCCCCTGGAGCTTGCTCAAACTCATGTCCATCAAGTTGGTGATGCCATCCAACCATCTCGTCCTCTGTCGCCCCCCTCTCCTTCTCCCTTCAATCTTTCCCAGCATCAGGGTCTTTTCCAATGAGTCAGCTCTTTGCCTCGGGTGGCCAAAGTATTGGAGCTTCGGCTAGACTGACTTAGTGTGCAGGATAGAGCTGTTGAGATGTGAGGCGATGGATAATTTTTTTTTGCCAGGGTTTAAGCTGAATCCCATCTGGTCTAAGTATACACCAAACTCTGAGGTTTTAGTCCAGAGGGGCTGAACCCAGATGGGGTTGGGAATGTAGCCCATGGTGATTCAGAGTTTTGAAAGTCTCTGAGGCTAGGAAAAATGAAATTGCAGAGATTGGGGGAGGAGAAATAATTCATGTCTCTTGCATACACACACGTCATTGTGGCCCGTGGTAAGTGGCTGGTGGCAGTTCCTTTGCTTGTGGGGAGCATTTGAGTCATTCACCTGCATCCTGCTGGCTTAAGGAGCCCTGGCCTTTTAAGCTCTGACCAGTGGGCCATCTGTTACTGAGTTAAAAATGTTACTTCTGCAAATTGGCTGCTCTCTCTGCTCGGTTTCTAGCACATTGGCACCAATAGTTTGAGTGTGATTCCGTTTGCTCTTTCAATCCTTCCAGGTCCTTCAGTAAAGAATAGCATCTCATGAAATCTTTCCAGCTCACACACTTCTAACCTTTGAGTCAGCTTTGATGGTTGGTCAAAGGGTATCAAAGTGGCTCCAAATGCACAGATTAAGCAGCTCTCCACTGTCTGAATAGTTGAAGTATCCAAGAAAAGGACAAAAATGGAAGCAAAGATTGTCTTTTTTGCCTTGTTTCTTTCTTTTGAAATGGCGACAAGCTGGAAACAATCTAAATACCCAAAACAAGGAACTGGCTAAGTCAATTATGGTGCAGAAACTTGAGGGAATGCTATACAGCAATTAAAATAAGTAAGAAAATGACCTATGAAAATATCTTTATAACGTTACACTTAAATCCAGAATACAGAACTGTGTGTTCACTGTATGAAATATGTGAGTGCATGAATAGAAGAAACATGCATGCATAAAATTGTTTGCAAGGGGTGGTGACTTTTTTTTTCTCATTTAAACATGCTTTTAACAATGTTATCTATATAATGATATTGGTGTCCAAAAAATTTCTAAGTACTTTGAAAAAAAAGGAAGACAATCTGATGAAGACAAGAGATTGGTATCATTCAGTGAATGTCCAGACCCCAGTGTGACAGGCTGGAGTATGGGCTCTGACTTCTTCTTCTTCTTTTTTTAATTCTTTTTGTTTATTTAATAAATTTATTTGGCTGCACCAGGTCTTAGTTGAGGCATAAGGGGTCTTAGTTTCCTGACCAGGGATTGAACCCAGGTCCCCTGCATTGGGAGCATGGAGTTTTAGCCACTGGACCACCAGGGAAGTTCTTGGGCTCGGGCTTCTAACTGGGTTGAGATCCGACTTTGCCACTTTGTCAAAACATGACCTTGAGCATATTCTTATCTCCCTGTCAAATAGAGATAAGAATGATGTCTGTTTCATAGGCTATTACAAGTTGCTGTGAGTTGGTGTATGTAGAGTGCTTAGAAAAATTCCTGGCCCAGAGTGAACACTCAGCAAATATTAGCTCTCCTGATTATACTGTGGATGCAAGAAACATCAGCCTGGGCAGAAGGCTTAAGTCAGAGGAATTTCTCTGGCTTGACCACAACCCATTCTCATAGGTCTTCTCTGACTTTTTTCCAGGACGATTCATGAGTATTTAGAAAGAGAGGGGGGTCCTTGCTGCCTCAGCTGGCTAGCAAAAAGGAAGCCTCCCCACTGCCCCTGGCTAGCATTCTTGCTGAGTCCTGCTGCCCGCCGTGGAGAGGCTGGTTATCCCTTCCAGGGACAGGGAGGCACCCGCTGCTGAAGCTGCAGGGCTGGCAGTCAGGGTGGCAGCTCCTGCAGATGCCACAGCTGGGGCCATCTCCTGTGGACGCCCTGAGTCACAGGCTGGCTGCCCCTGCTGGTCCCCGCTGTGCGCCGCCACCTTATCCTGGGGAGAGTGTGGCTCTCACTTTTCACGTGTGTGCAGCCCACTCAGCCTCAGCCCATGGGGACGGGGACAGGTCTGAGCGACATCACGGCTACTCTTCGCCCTGTCCCTCTTTCCACCCCTGAGTCAGTGATGAGCCACAGCCTGTGTGTGGCTGCCTCTCCCCTTGTTCCCAGGAGGCCCCACCTGTCTTCTCGCCAGCCACCTCTCTCTTCCCGGCAGGACAAGCCCAGACCTGACCATATCCTCACGGGAGGACAGTTCTGCTCCGGCTGGGACCCCATGCAGCATGAAACCGGACTGGCATCCAACCTGGAGAAAACATCTGGATGCGGGAATGAGAAACAGATGCCCAGACAGACCAAGGGCAGGGATGCTCAGTGTGGGAGGCGAGTGACTGAGCCTGCTGCTGACTGGACACGAAGGGTGAGGAGAGGAGGAAGAACGAGAGGCAGCTGCTGAAAAGGAATGAGGGAGGTCCCCAGCAGATGCTAAAAAAAAAACCCCTCAAGTTCATTTGCACACATCAGCTTCAATCTCCCCAGAGTATCTTCCTCAATCCTTACCTCTCCACACACCCCCTGATTCTTTTCTGGCTTCTAATCTTCACAAAAGAAGAGTGTTTGAGGTTGGGGGAGGGCAGGGGCTGTTCACTAGTGTGACTGTCTTACAGACCTTGTTCTAGAGACAGACCTATGATTCAAGTAATGCCTTCTTTCCCCTTCACCAGAGTGGGATTAGAAATGGGGACAAGTTTCCTTACTCAAGGGGAGGGGGTGTGTTTGAGGAAAACGGGGTGTTGTGAAATGGGAAGAAGAGACAACAGTAAAAAGCCCTGGTGGAAATAAAGTGCTCCAGCAGTCCTGTATCCATTAAAGTAATAACATCGTTGCATGGCAGGTTTATCACTCCCTTACAGATCCTCAGCGTGGGAGCTGTGGCTCTTTTTAAAAATGAGAACGGGGTTGCGAGCTGCTGCTCCAGTGTGGAAGGGCAGGTCTCCCTGTCTCTCCCCTTCAGTGATCCTCTCTCACCACCACCCCCAGCCTCGGACTTCTCCCAGCCTCTAGGACCATCACTAAAATTCATTTCACTCTTTAATTAGATTTCATGGAGTAAGGGATTGGGAGGGGTGCTGGGAAAGGCATTCATATGACCTCTTTCTGTAGAGAGGGGTAATGCTGTTGATAGGGGAGGTGGGACAATGGTTGCCATGGAGACATATTCCCAGACATACAGACACACACTCATTTAAATGCCTTTTTTTTTTTTTTCCAGCAGGGGAAGGATCCGGTGCCCTATTTTTAGTGTCAGATTTCAGCAAAACAATTCACTTTCATTTCATCACACACACACTGCTGGGTTTTAAAGTAGGTCACATTTTCTAACCATATCAAGAGCTCAGATCTGTCTTGCTCAAGTAGTGCAAGGTTCCACAGAAGATTTTACTGATTGAGACGGAGATCTCAGACTTGCCTCAGTACAGTTTCCTTTCATCTCTATTTGACAGGCATTAGAATAGGCAGAATGAAGAGCTGTAGGTAAATTTACATTTTAAAGACTAATACAAAATGCCTAAGAAGTGATGATGGTAAGGGGAGGCATAGAAATTAAAAACAACAAACTGGGCTGTTATTCTGTTATCAGGTTATCACTGATTATTATAAAAAAATATTCCTTGAGTGCCAATCTACACAGTCCATTGAGGAAGAAATAAGTCCTGACTGGTAGCTGTCCAATTTAAATCTTTACTCTTTATTCCAGCTTGACAGGGTATGCTAGAATATGTGAATCCAGAGTTTGGGGTTTTATTTCTGCTCCATGCCAAATTGCAGTTTTTAAGTGTTTTCGTCTGCATTTCTTGCTTCGTGCTCTTTGCTAAATTTCACAGCCCCTTGGTGACCAGAATACCTTTATTGACTGGTATGAGCACTGGACACTCCCCAGCAGAATTAGCCTGAAGCAAGATTGTGAATTGGCCCAGAATTTCCAGTGGCCCTAAACTCACCCACTTCCCCAGATGGTGTCAGTGCCTCCTCTTCCTTGGGTTTGGTTCTTTCCGAGGTGGCAATAAATCTAGAGTAATTTAGGAAGGATTATCCTCTCTTTCCTTGAAACTCGTTTTATATCAAGTCCTTTTGTTTCTAATGGGGAGGTTATTTTTACACTGGCAGAGAATGCTGGCTTCCCTTTCATAGCACAGAGTGGGAAACTGCCTCTGTGTAGAATCAAAGGGTACCCTGTGGTCCACCGTCTTAAAAATATAATAGCCAGATAGTAAAAGGAAGACTGAAATGAAATCATTATGATAGAATACTAACAGTGTTATCCCAAGTAGAGAGAGATCAGTTAACTAATTTTCTCCTTTCTAACTTTTTGTATTTTCTAAACTTCGTTGAGCGTACACTGCCTTATTAATCAGGAAGTAATTAAAAAATGATAAACTCAGACGGACACTGGCTTCAGGACCCCAGGCTATGCAGTCAGCTATGCCAGGACCCAGTCTTGCCCACCAGTGGGCCCGCAGCCTCTGCACCACATAAAGCCTGGCAGCCGACAGTGCCAGGGGCCAGCCCCACCCACCAGCATGCTCACAGCAGTCAGTCCTGCCAGCATAGCAGGACACATGCACCCCACATACGGGGCACCCCTAAAGCATATAGTTCTGGTGACCAGAAGGGAGTGTGCTATTAGACCCCACAGAACATCTACCTTAAGCCACTTCTCTAGGATTCAGGGCTTCCCAGGTGGCTCAGTGGTAAAGAATCCACCTGCCGATGCAGGAGATGCAAGAGATACAGGTTTGATCCCTGGTTGGGAAGATCCTCTGGGGTAGGAATTGGCAACCCACTCCAGTATTCTTGCCTGGGAGATCCCATGGAGAGAGGAGCCTGTCCATGGGAGCCAGTCCATCGGGTGGCAAAGAGTCAGACACAGCTGAGCACACATACACACAGAAGCAGCAAGATCAGAAAATGTAACCAACCTACATTATACAACAAATAAACATGGATTATTAGGCAAAGGGAGGTGACGAAGGAGTATGCTCCAAGTGAAAGAATAAGATAAACCTCCAGAAACAGAACTAAGTAAAATAGAAATAAGCAATCTACCTGATCAAGAGTTCAAGGCAATGATCATAAGGATGGTAAGTGAACTGGGGAGAAGAATGAATGAACACTGTGAGAAGCTTATCAGAGAGAAAATATAAAGAAGACCCAAACAAACCGAAGAATACAATAACTGAAATGAAAAATACACTAACAGGAATCAATGGTATATTAGATGAAACACAGGAAAGGATCAACAAGCTGATCTGGAAGACAGACTAATGGAAGTCATCCAAGCTAAACAGAAAAAAAAAAAAAGAAAGAATTTTTTAAAATGAGGATGATTTAAAAGACTAGTGGGACAACATCAAGCATACTAACATTCACATTTTAGGTGTCCTAGAAGAAGAGAGAGAGAAAGAGGAAGAGAACTTATTTAAAGGAATAATAGGTGAAAACTTCCCTAACCTGAGAAAGGAAACAGACGTCCAGGTCCAATAAGTACACAATTCCAAACAAGATGAACCCAAAGAGGTCTCCCCAAGACACACTGTAATTAAAATAGCAAAAATGAAAGATAAAGCGAGAATCTTTCAAAGCAGCTAGTTACGTACAAGGGAACTCCCATAAGGCTGTCACTTTACTCCTCAGCAGAAACTTCTCAGGCCAGAGGGAGTGAAACGATATATTCAAAGAGATGAAAGAAAAAGGTACAACCAAGAATACTCTAGCATTCAAGCAAGAATACTAGAGTGGGTTGCCATTTCCTTTTCCAGGGTATCTCCCTGACCCAGGGGTTGAACCTGCCTCTCTTTCATCTCCTGCAAGGCAGGTGGATTCTTTACCACTGTCATTTAGTAAATACTAAATGCCAAACATTTTGTGTGTGTATATACATATATATATATGGTAATATATATACATTATAAAATTATTATGCCCATTATACATGTATGTATGCACATATATGTATATGTGTATATATAATCATATCTGTACAAGTAGTTTTATTTCTTAATCTATATTCTATAGTTAAGAAAACTGAGATTCTGTAAGGTAATTTCCCTAAAGTCACAGAGGTATTAAGTAATTGGAGTAGGGGATATTTGAACCCAGATCTGTGCAAAGCTTTTGGTAGCTTCCTGGGGCTGTGGGGTTGAATCAGGGTATTGGACATCTGGTTCAGTCTCTCAGTTAAGGGAGACTTATATATTGTCTAATATACTTATTAGACAATATATATTATATATATATTATATATATATATAGGACAACTTATATATTGTCTAATATAGATATCCTATTGTCAAACACATAAAACTCTAACTCTATTCAATGAAAACTCGGAGTTTTGACTACCTAGCAAAATGTATTTTTCTGCTTTGTAGATTGCAGGTAGGCTCCATCACTCTTCATAGGAAAAGGTCCTATCCTATAGGTTGTTCTTGTTGTTTAGTCTCTAAGTCATGTCCCATTCTTTCACGATCCCATGGACTCTAGCCTGCCAGGTTCTTCTGTCTATGGGATTTCCCAGGCAATAATACTGGAGTGGGTTGCCATTTCCCAGCTTATTCTTGGTAATGGCTGCTTTGTTTATGAAGACAGCCTCAGGTGGTCTGAAGCATGCTGCAACTAAGACGTGGCACAGCCAAATAAATAAACAAATAAATATTAAGAAAGATTTATCCTAAAAGATGATCCTGTGAAAGTGCTGCACTCAATATGCCAGCAAATTTGGAAAACTCAGGAGTGGCCATGGGACTGGAAAAGGTCAGTTTTCATTCCAATCCCAAAGAAAGACAATGGCAAAGAATGCTCAAACTACCGCACAATTGCACTCATCTCACATGCTAGTAAACTAATGCTTAAAATTCTCCAAGCCAGGCTTCAACAGTATGTGAACTGTGAAACTTCCAGATGTTCAAGCTGGATTTAGAAAAGGCAGAGGAACCAGAGATCAAATTGCCAACATCTGCTGGATCATCAAAAAAGCTAGAGAGTTCCAGAAAAACATCTACCCCTGCTTTATTGACTATGCCAAAGCCTTTGACTGTGTGGATCACAATAAACTGAAAAATTCTGAAAGAGATGGGAATACCAGATCACCTGACCTGCCTCTTGAGAAATCTGTATGCAGGTCAGGAAGCAACAGTTAGAACTAGACATGGAACAATAGACTGGTTCCAAATAGGAAAAAAAAGTACGACAAGGCTCTATATTGTTACCATGCTTATTTAACTTATATGCAGAGTACATCATGAGAAATGTTGGGGTGGATGAAGCACAAGCTGGAATCAAGATTGCCAGGAGAAATATCAATAACCTCAGATATGCAGATGACACCACCCTTATGCCAGAAAGCAGAGAAGAACTAAAGAGCCTCTTGATGAAAGTTAAAGAGGAGAGTGAAAA